CAAAAATAACCTACAAAGGAGTGTATGTTGAAAATTCAAGTTACAAATAAATATTTGATCTCATATCAGCAAAATAAATACACCCCTGTGATTTTAAATCGGAAAGACATATGACCATTGCTTTTATTAGCAATTGTTATTACACACCGGTTTTAAAGGAGGTCAATGAATAATGTTTTGCAAATCGCTTTTTAAGTAGTTTATTAAAAAAATTATTCTACAATGCATGCTCAGAAAGATCAACATATCAAACGTCAACCAACGAGTCATTCTCGATCATACTGAAGAAGCCACTATTTCTTCCCAACTCCCCTTTTCATAAGCCCGTTTGAAAAACAGGTCGTACTATAGCCCCCCCCCCCTCCCCCTGGCGGGCAAGGGGCGCTCTGGTGGTATCCATTTTTGTCCGAAACATATCTCCTGCATGCATAGAGGAATTTTAGTGAAACTTCATGCAAATGTTCACCACGTCGCAAGCATGAACTAGGTATCTAGTTCTCACTTAGAGGTCATTGAAAAACACTTCTTGTGTGAAACATGCAATTAAGGTTAATATATGCAAGGTCAAGGTCAGTAAAGATGATAGTCAAGGCCATTAAAACTGATAAAAAAGAGATTTTGCCCCCGGTCATTGAAAAAAAAGCTTGTTCGGGGCTGCACTTTTTAAATTTATAGGGGGGGGGGTTAACTTGGCCCCAAAAAGTTAAACATTTTGAAAATTATTATTTGAACATTTGGTTTTTGGCCTTTCCAGGTCCCTGCTACCAAAGTCAATGTCACATCGAGAGGTCAAAGTTTGTCTTAGGGGACCATTTAGTCATCATTTATTGAATGATTGTAACACAAATGATAACTATCTTGGCTAAAAGTGTGACACATATAATTTAGGTTAATATTGGCAAGGTCAAAGTCACTTCAGATGATACATATCCATAGAATTTCCGGATATTTCCCAGAGCATATCTCTTATATGCATATCTATAATGCCCACATCTCTGTCAAAGCTTTTGTGATGGGCGAATTTTGCAACAATGTTGCCTTTGTTCCCCCTTACAATAATTATTTTGTTTAGACGCACTTGAAACTTCTTACGCATACAAAATGTACACCAATACTATGCAAAGTACTTATTTTTCTGTTATATCACGTTTTCTTATTTAATGTTAATTAATTGTATATACAAGTAAGAACTGAAACTAAAACAATGGTAAATACATGTATTTAATTTTTATTTTAATTCACAAACAAAGCTAAATACTTGTATTTTAAAAAATTTTTAATTTTACCCCAAAAAAACTAGCCCTCGTCCCTTGTATTTTGTGTTTCTTTGCTTCCCAAAAAATTTCGTCAATTTTCCCTCAATTTAAAATTAATGAGTTAAAACTCCCTTTTTTAATTTTAAGGGGTTAAACGAAATGACTTTTTATATGAATATATATCAAAAAAATTGATGTTTTTTTTTTGAATGACCAAAAATTGAAAATTTTTGGGTTTAAGTTAAAAATTAAAAATTTTTTATATGCTTTTAAAAATAAAATTTGGGTTTACCCAAAAATTTTTTATAAATTTATCATTTCGGCAAAATTTTCCCATGGATAAATTTTTTGGCAATAAAGGGGGGGTTACTTATCGTTTTATTTTAAGTTTTTAAATTAAATAAATTATGGAAAAAATTTATTTTTATTTTGCTATCGCCCCTCCCTCATTACAGTATTAAACATAAAGATGGACATAATGTCACTTTATAGTGTTTCAATTGTTTTTTTTTTTTTTTCAAGCATTAACATACCATTGATAAGCGACCCCATAACGTCATTATTCAAAGTAATTTATTTAAAACAATTTACGTTAAATTCCCCAAAAAGAAAAAAAAAACTAGAACTTACCTAAAAATTTTTGAATATTGTCATTCTTTCCACAAATACTTTCATAAATTTCATATTTTTAAGCAACACGTTTGAGGTATCCCTTTTCTGAAGGACCAAGCCCCGAAAAATTATGAAACAACGTTTAACCGTTTTTAAAAACATTAAAAGTAACTTTTGTAACCAAAACATTTCATAATAAATCGCACCTTAAATTTTTTTTTTATCTGAACATAGTCTCTTTTATGCCATTGTGTTTTCTACGTTCAATTGTTAGATGATTTCAACATATGGCGCCACGTTTGAGAGAAGAAAAAATCTACATATTTTTCATTTTCTCTTTATCATTTATTGAATGCAAGCTGTTTACTCTTAAAGAACACTACAAGCAAGTCTTATAAGATATTGACTGCAACTAACATTTCCTAGAACAGAAAAACACGCCTACTGGTTTAATGAAACACGTACGTATGTGTGAAAGTAGCATTTTTTATTTGCATGAAAACTTTGAATGAATGATAAAGTACATGTATAACAGTTGTCAAGTGTACATATTAAGAGGTATATTCTAACTAACTGCTCTAATTATCCACATAAAGTATGCGTATTATTTCAGAATATGCAGAATTTTATTTTATGTCTGGAATAAAGGTATTAGACTTTGGTGTTGAAAGTAGTAAATCATGTCATATTTTGTATAATATAACAAACTTATATACTAACCATTTCATCCTTGATGGTAAATAATCATAACTTTCGTAAAGATATTTGATGATGATAGTTTTAAGGTTTAATTAGCTCATCTAAATGCTTGTTGCTTTGATATACAAAATATAATTTTGTTACTGATCAATGTTTCAGTTTCGTGTTGAAACTGTTATTGATCAATGAATGTTAACCTTACTTACAATAAGACTACCATTATTTTGTTACACAAATATTTTTAATTATCACTCAGTGAACAATGCAATAGAAGCAAGTTACACAATAATGTATTTTCAACGAAAATACTTGAGTTTATGTACAATTTCTAATCTGATGCAATTTGTATGGTAACTTCGTTTTTACGTTATGCCATCGGATGCATATTGTATGGTAGTTTTCTCTATAAAAGTAAGACATCTGCATGATTTGTACGGTAAATTCTCTATAAAGGTATGCAATCTGAAGCATTTTGAATGACAATTTTTCAGCATTGCAGAATCATTGTACAAGAGGTGATTCACCTTAATTGTAACACTTCTGCTTCATTTATAAAATATACATTTTGAGAATATTATGAGATCCAAAATATTAAATTTCGTGCATTATGGCTCGTGTACCATATTAATTACAAATTGTTCTGCGTTTTGTAACTCATTCCTCAATGCTTTTATAGTGTGAATGTAAATTTTACTTTTCTGAAAATAGCTCTTTTTAATATCCTAGTTAGCAAATCCGTTGACACTTATTATTGATCAGGCTTAAAATGTCATTTTCATCATACTTGAATATGCAAACGATTAGTTTTGCCTATGGCCTAGGGGGTCATAGTCTGGTCATCTTGAAATGTATATCATTATGAATAGTTTGTTAATATAAAATGCTTACTCAATCTCCAGGATTGTCCATGAACAGGCTCCTGCAACATTTTCAAATTTCTCTTTTTGGACGTTCTTTAGAGATTTTCTTTTTCCCTATGTTTCTTGCAGATTTTGAAATCTTTTGCAATTTTTGTTATCTGTAGATGATACCAATTTGCAACCAACCAGATCGTTTAGAATGATAATATAGGAATTCATTCAATAATGGTTCAAAAGTGACGAATTATTTCATTTGTTGTCTAATAAATGAAAGCTGTAAAATGGTTATATTACAAATTTTTAATTTTTTTTGTATTTGGGGTCCCCAAGGGCTACAGCCCAAAATTTAGAAAATTTAGGAAACCCTTAAAATAAGGGGGCCCCCCAAAAATTTTTGGGCGGTTGTTTTATTGGGGGGGGTTTGGGTTGTTTGGGGGCAAATTCCTACCCCCGCCCCCCTTGGAATTTCCCTTTTATTTTTGCCCCCTTTAAAATAAAATGGATTATGTCCTTAAAATTAAAAAGGGCAAAAAAAAAAGTGAAAAAAAAAATTAAAAATTTAAAAACGTTAAAACCCTATTTGAAAAATTAAAAAATAATTAATAATCCCTTTGACCAAAGTAAAATTTTTTTAAAAATTTATTGTAGGTTTTATAAATTTTTTAAAAAGTGCGCCTTTTTTGTATTTGGTAGTTTTTTAAATTTGTTGTTGGAAAATTTTTTTTATCACCCTTTTAATGCCAAAATTTTAAATAATTCAAATTTTAAACCTTTTGACCCGTGAAAAAAAAGTTTAAATTTATTAAAATTTTAAAAAATTAGGGAAATTCCCAAAAATTTTATTGTTTTTAAATCCCAATTAAATTTTAGATTATAAAAATTTCTGGCCCAATTGGGTTTTTTGGAAAACCTTAATTTTTTTATGTGGATTTTTTCAAAACAAACGCCCAAAAAAAACTTTTTTTTGGGTTTAAAATTTGAAAAAATTTTCCGGTCGTTTAAATTAAAATATGGGCAAATATTTTTTACAAAAAAAGCCAAACAGAAAGAAATTCCCTAAAGTTTTAAATTTTTTAAAATTTTATAAGATTGATTTTTGCATCATGGTTTCGTTTTTTGACGATGGATTGAATGTACCAAAACGATTTTGCCCAAAGAATTTCCATTTATAAAAATTTTTCCCCTGTTTCTGAGATTTTGCAATTTTTATGGGGCGGTTTTAATTAATATCAAATATCGGTTTGGAAAAAAATTATATGCACAGCCACACCGAATCTGGCCCTTTTTTTTGTGTGCAAAGACTAAAAAATTTTTAAATGCTAGCAGTTAAGTAAGGGCTAGACCCTTAAAATAATAGTTCAAAAAATACAAATTTTTTTGTTTTTTGTTTTTTTAAAAAAAATGATCAAAAACAAAAGAAATTAAAAAATTTTACTATGGGAAAGTTTTTTTGGGTTAATTCTAAAAAAAAATTTAAAAAGAATTGTTTTTCAAAATAGTATAAATAAAAAATTATGAAAGTGAAATAATTCCAAGAAAATAAAACAGGGAGAAAAAGTATTTTTTTTTGGGGTCATTCATTCTTTTCTATGAGAAATATATTACAAACAATACTAGTGGTCCATCCATACAAACAATATAGCTTAGGTAAAAGTGGATTGGTCTATAATGGGAGCACTTTTCAAAAATATTTCAAATATTGATACAAACGATAGAAATATATCAATAATTGTTATTTTTGACCGATTCTATTATCTGCTATAAATAGATATGTTATAGCGGATCATATATCAACAACTCCCATATATAATTTGTTCATGTCTTTTGTCACGTTTAACTATAAACATTATCAACACAATCACACATTCCATAATAGTGCAGTTCACACTTCTACTCAATATATACAAAATCATTTTAAATCATTGACATAAAAAAGAAATTTACATGTGTCAAAATCAAGATGAAATTTTGTCTGTTATACGAAGTACATGACCGTAATATATATTAACATCTACACACACACTGTGTTGCCACTGAAATTACGTGCAAAAATATATATACAGAATAATTGTACAATAGGTGTCGATAAAAATACATTTTTAAAAGTTTTTTTTCTTGCCCATGCCACATTCATACAATTATGCACAATGACTATTTACAGAAGTCAGTATTAGGGTCAACTGTTCTTCATTGTTTCATTTTGCACGCAAAACTGCCGTACCATTATTCTACCTTGTTGTCTTTGACCGAAGTAACCATGTAAGAAAGTTCATCTGAAACATACGAGATAAAATATCAATAGTAAATACATAAAAAGTGTGCGCGTATACATCAATGGCGTTGTGGAATGAATAAATGAAATTTATATGAGCTTTGTGGGAAAAAATTCAATAAAGACATACATGACAATTAAAATCCAAGTTACATTATTTAACCTCATGTCACATTTTATAGATCATCGCCTAGCATATATCATAAAGTAATATTATTCAAGCTTCCTACCCAATCCGTTATTCTAATTTATGTACCTTATTATGTAAATGTGTAGATTATAAATAAATATTGTTTAAACTAATATTAAAAAGGAAGCACTTTGTTATTGATGAAACAAAAGTGAACAGCACACTTAGTTATCTGGTTTAATTAATGTCAGAAATTGGATGTAGCAGGATTAACAGTATATTACATATATAAAATATGAAAAAAACAAGATCAACAAGGAAGGGCGGCATTCAACAAACACACCCCAACACTGGACAACCGGCAAAGAGCCCAGCAGGACACTAAACAGAACAAGGCACAAGAGTAAAAAAAACGACAGAAGATTAAAGAAAATTTTGGTATGAAAATGATATTGATAAAATGGAAAGAAATATAAACCACTTGTTGTCTATGCAGACTGAATACGGAGAGGGAGACAAAAAGGCCATACATTTATATTTAACACATATAAAACATATTTACTTTGAACAAAATCTCTCGAATAAAACATATACAGATTTTGTTTGTTCAAAACAGAAATTATTATTACACATATGTAATAACAAGCTGTGTATGATGTGCCCATGCGTTTATCTTATCACATGTTCTATATTATTTTTAAAGCTTAAGCAAAGCCTTCAGTTTATCTTGACTACAAGTTTAACAAACATAATGCTTGGTTTTTTGTATGTTTGTATATTAATATCTTATACATGAAGGATGCTCTTTCATGTTCCATCACAATCTGCTTAAGGTACCGTGCTCTACTTATTCTCTCGAGTGTGGATACCTCTAAAAACTATAAATTTCTCGTTTTTGTTTATGCCTGACAATACTTTAAGTGATTGAATCATTGATCTACCAGCTTCTGGTGTATGTATTATTCAACCAATTATAAATATTTGATAAAAGCATGTCACATGTTTAAAATGCACATTTTTTTTTAATTCAGTTACATGCTAAATATAATACATGCTCGTATAAGCAATTGCAATACTCTGTATATGATTATTCCATGCAACTAATTTCTACATGCACCTTTTATTTTTAACTGTAGTGATTACATGCCGAGGAAAAAAGAAAGTATAGGTGAAAACAGAACTTGTTATTTCTTTCTCCCTTATGATGTATATTAATTACTTTATGCCAATATATATCACATGTACCCGTTACTTCTAAATAAATAGTTCATGTTGTTGACAGTCAATGTTCTAGTGGATCCTCCATATCAAACTATTCTATGTCCCTCCTTCAAAACTCAGTGTTATGTTCCATGTACTAGTTATTGCTTTCATTCCAATAAATATTGTTATGTTCAACGTTCTTGTAAATGCGCTCTGCAAATAATATTTGTGTGTCCCAGTTACTAGTAATTACTTCATGCCAATAAAATGCCATATGTACCATCAAAAGGTCAAAGCGTCATGCTATTATATCTATTCCGCATGCAACATGAATACCTATCAAGAATTGTAGTAAAACTCATCGTCATCCATTAAAAGCAGCTCATCTATATCACTAAGCTCATATTTATTTTTGCCTTGGTCATTCTGTTCGGCATTGTTTTCACCTTCGTCGTAATCATCATCATCATCCCCATCCCCATCCTCATCTTCGTCATCTTCATCGCTATCATCACTTACATCATAGTCTTCGTATATGCCTATCTGATCTGTTTAGGGCATTCAATAACTGATGGTAAATATGTTGTTTCGAAGCTGGCTTAGAACCATTAAAAATAGAGTATGGTTTGTTCTACACAATTCTTGGTTATATATAATAACCAAGTCTCTCTCCAAGCCACCCATTCATCAAGGGTTATTACAATATCTGACAGATCTAAAAGCTTGTCACAATCAAATTGGAAAAAAAAGTATACATTGTATTTGCCGTTACTTCTTCAGAAAACATCCGAAATGAAACTATTCTTCTAATAAGAAAGCAGAGGTTATCATCTTAAGAAGATATGAAAATTTCAGGCAATTAACTGAAAAAGTGTCGATGTAGAACGGCGAAATTCAATAGCACCCTTTGTTCAAAAATCAAAAATATATTTGTATCTTATCTACTATTTCTTTATTGTGGTCGCTAACTTTTCTCATTCAGAAGATTAAAGGTTTGACTTGAACCTTGTAGTAATCCTTAAAGCGGCAATCAGATTTAATTTTTGTCCGATAAACAATTCTATGTGTTTTAAAATAGTATCTCAGTAATTATATCTTGAACAAGTGCACCATATCATTGTTAAACCTTCTTCGAGAGCTATTTATAACGCATTAGTGTCATTTGTTTCTAAAAATTGAAGATCGAGAAAAGAATTGTCCGCTTTACTTATTTAGATTAAGAGAGCGGACCATTAGATTAGAAATATTGTGGGCTTTCATTATTGTTTATGTATTTTGTTATCGGCAACTGTCTTTTCCCACCTTATGTTTTATTTGACAATTATAATCATGATACGATTTATCGAAAAAAACAAACATTTTTTATCTTTAGAAAAACTTCATGGATTTCCTGTTTTGAGTTTAAGCTGATCGTTTAAGGTATTTAAACATCAAAAACATAAGCAATATGCATCATTACGAAGGTTATTCAAAAAATAATTGGACTGCGGCTCTACTGTATACATTTACACAATTTTACAAGAGAAATATAGGAACATGTCCTCTATATAAAGAGAAAATATCAATACAATATGTTTACAAATAACGATAACGTATATAAAGAAGAAAGACAAAGGTTTTACAATATCGGTTAAGATGACGTGTCTTGTGTAGGAAACAATTTGACTGATATTTTGAAATACGTGACAAGTTCCACACTTACTATGTTAATAAATACTTACTCTCCGTGACATATTCCTCCAAATTAGATCTGCAGGAGTCTGTAAACAAGTAAAAACGTGATAGAAAGATATAGTTCAAATTTCCCGTCTTACTTCAGTTGACAATCATGTATACAAATAAGCTTATCAACTTTAAATAGTGTTTACATTCAAAAAGGTTTAAACGAAAGTACACAGGACAACATGTATCCCAGGAGTTCTTAAGTAATATGAAAATTGTATGCCGTTAAAATTTTGGAAAACACTTATTAAAGCAAAACACAGATGTAAAGTACATATACATGTTTTAAAGAGGAAAAAATATTATATCAGCTAATTAGGTATCCAGTGCCGCAGAACTAAATAATATGTCTGATGGTTTGTGAGTGAAACAAGTATAAAAAAATTGCGATAGTGAAATAAAGGGTAAAAATAAATGAAAGCAAATCTCTCAGATGGATTTAAGATGGAGTAAAGGTTACATAAATGAAAGAAACGAATTGATAAAATAAATAGGGAGAAAAAAATCACTGAAAAGAAAACTGACGTATTGATACTAAAGCAAATGGCAAAATAACACCGTTAAATGGTGACCCTTGCCACCATTTCAAACCCGCGAAAAGTTTTATCGTTTTATCATAAAATGTCGGGGGCAACTTACAAACCCGCGAGATTTTCTGTCGATATCGTACAAAATGTCGCGAGGAATGTATAAACCTCGATATTTTATAACAGTTGCTGGAAACAGCAAGGAGCATTTTGACACCAGTGGCCGGTACCGTATGTGGTTTGACTCTCGTTAGTAGAAATCCGCGACATTTTTTGACATTGTTGTTGAAATTCTACAAAAAGTCGAGGAGAAAAATTATAGGCCGCGACTTTTTGTTCCTAAACAACGGTCTCATAAAATATCGATGCGAGTGACAGCAATTTTCAGCCAAGGCGTTTTGCGCAGAGACATATACCGGTATAAAAAGTCGAGTCTTAATCCTCAAACTCTACTTTTCATAAGGTATGCATCAAAACCAAATATAGAGGAATATAATGGTTGCAATCAGCAACTTAAAGTAAGCATGTTTGCATGGCTTAGTCTACTATGTAGAAAGAAAATGTCGCAGTTCCCTTCGTAAAATTCGACTTTGTACGACAGAAGTCTGGCAGAAAAACTTGAGGGCATCTATAAGCCGCGGCATTTTATACAATGTCGACATAAAATAACGCGAATTTTAAAGTTGTTCGCGAAATTTTATAAACTGACGGTAAAATTTCTCGCGGCTTTAAAATGGGCGCTACTCACCACCAAACCGTTGAGGTAAATATTTTGTTTCAAATTATAAACAAACCTTTATGCTCTCTAATTCATGATATGTCATATTTTAAATGAAATTCAAATTAAACTTACAGTTCTTATTGGGAATATCAACCATTTCCGGCTGCAGGCAAACCCAGAAAGCAACCTCGTACGTTTCCTGCTTAAATTCCTCGTCAAGTGTCTCGTTTCTTGACCACAAGACTATCTCCTCGCCTCCCTTGCTACACTGTCCGTGCTCGAGCATTTTAGTGCACATGTACGTCACTAGCACGTTTTTATAGTCCGTATAGATTATTTTATAAGGAACTGAAATTTTATTGGTTCTTTCGATTAGTGTGTTGCAAAAAGGTGCAATATCAATTGTTAGTGCATTTTAACTCATTATTGGTGTTATATTAAGAATAAATCTGGAGAAAAAATGCAATTTTGCATTCTTGAAATTATAAAATAATCCCAATTTATTTATCACTTAAGTATATTTTGTTACCTATCAAAAACAAATGCTATATTTATCCATGAAACACATAATATTCATTAATGTATTGGTCAAACTAAAATAATCTTCCAAATGGTACATTTCATGTTTTTCGTAACAAGCAAAACAATCAAAATAAATCAAGACAAGCGGGTTTAATTTTGCCACAAAAGTCGAAAAAAAAATACGTACTGTAGGAAACAAAATGTTCTGCCTCGTTGAATCTGTACAAAGAGTCTCCATTAATATCACTACTGCATCTAGCTATCATGGATGCATGCAATACCTCGGAACAGCTATAAAGGTAAAATATCGACAATTGATCAACCGAACAACTGATATTATCATATCTTTTTCAATATAACATTATTTCAGTTTTTTGCTTTCCTTGAACTGTTTCGATATAGAGCTATTACAGTGTTTGAATTTGATGTTATATACTACTCAAATGTTGCTATGCTAAAGGCTTTCCCTATTTGTCAGTCTGAAGTCTACAACTATATACATTTATTATATTAACATTTTAAAAACGTTTAGTGAGTGACTAGAAGGGTTGTCAATATATAATGACAGTTTCCCGTACACTCGTGCATTTATTTTATGCTTCATACATGTTCCCGAGACGTGTAATACTCAATATTTTCTTTCGCTTGAATATATGTATTATGTTAGATACGAGTGTAAGGACAAAAATGTGAATGAAAACATTGAAATCGTTGAGCAAGAGGCTTTTTATTGTGAAGTTGCTTGTCGCACGGCATGCACAATACGATTATTACTTAGGCCCAAGTGAGATGTCAGCTGTTTGGTACACCTGCAAGACTGTAAGGTGATGTGGACTGTAAGCTGATGTGGTTCATGAAATGTTATCTGCTCTTGCAAAGACCATGCATACCGGGCTTCCTGCCTCTAAAAAAAACTGCTACCTACGATATGTGGACTTTAACCAGTTTGGTTGGCGCAGGATGGATTCATGACATATCGACCTTACTGTTGATTCTTGGTACTTTGTTTGCTATACGGTTAGTCACGATAAAGTATGTCGCTGTCCAGAAGAAGATTTGTTTAATGTTGCAAATATTGCTGAATACGACCAGTGGAGTGGAGGTCCGTTAATGACCTTGTTTGGGGCGCAGTAAGTTGTTAAGCTGGTGAGTTAATAAATGAAGACCGTAATCTCCTTTCTATAGTAGGTTTAACATAAATAATTTGCGAGGTTTCAAAAGTATTGTATACAAACACAGTCAAGACTTTAGTTATTTTTTACCCTTCATATGAATCTACGTATGTAAATCCGGTATAGTAAATATTCAGCGTCTCGTTGCTAGGCGACGTAAAGTAGGCAACGGCAGATCTGACTGGAGGTTTGTATGTTGATGCAGATGATCTAGATATTTCATACCAGTAGCCATATATCTGTAGTATAAAACAAATGCATTAGGCATCTTATAAACATAAATAACACACATTACAATGCCTCAAAATGGAATATAAAACTTCGCTAAACAATAACAATGTACGATATTTATCTGGCTCAGTTGATTACTTTTTGAAAAAGTTATACGAATGCTCTTTTTAGAATTTATATTTCACAGCCGCTCCAAGCAGTTGTAAAATGTGGTCTGGCTGGCGTAAATCGTCACCCGTACCTAAATCAGAGATGCAAGATGTTTCCCAACTCTTTTTTTTTTTCTTTAATTCTGGATTTTAAAAACTTGCATTGATTGAGACTTATGATATGCTGAATTTATCAATGTGGTCTATACATAGGCCAGTTTGAAGTTTGCAAGTATTGCAACATTTTAAATTTTGTCGTGTTGGGCTTTCTTAAGGGATTTCGTTTTTTGTTTTTTTTTTCTCTATTCTATTTGGTTGACATCGTCGGATACCCACGGCCGAACCATTAACATTTATCAGCCGTGGGATTTTTTGCCGATATTCAGTCGATTAGAGGTGTGTCAAAGGCAGCTATATCATTGGCTGCCTCACGATTTCATGAGGCGATTAAAACCAATCAAAACGCTCGTTCTGTACGACGTTGGGTATTACAGATAATATTGCGACAACCATAAACGACGTGAAAAGCTCAACATCGAAAAATTATACGATTTCCAGCAAGAAAGTATAGATAATTTACTTATACAGCCTGAGGTTTTCCTTTCTGATTAATATCTGCTTGCAGAAGAACTGATTTGGCGATAGTTTTTGCCATTGATTTTAGCAAGACATGTACAACAGTTTTTAACCGTGGGCGCTGCCATTTTGTTTTTTATTGTTTTTTTTACCTCCGCTGTTGAAGAATATAGATTTGTTAAACGCGATGTCATTGGTAAATATTTTACGCACCTGTTGCTGTATATCGACGCCATCGATTCATTTTACCCACGGTTGATTGCATGTTATGTGACATGTTTATCAATCGTGGGTATCCGACGATGTTTGGTTGATGGCTTTGTTGTGATATTGCTACGAAGAATGAATAATCATTCTCTTTATCCTAAGTAAATTGCAACTAGAAATAATATGAATATAATACATGATATTTTCAAATAAACTTGACTTGTACATTCCAAACAAACACAAAAGTCAAATAAACTTGACTTGTACATTTCAAACAAAAACAACAATTAAATCATATCAATTTCTAAAAACATTTCTGAACCATCATGTTTGTAGTATATGAGATGTGAAACATATGGAGTGGTGAAATGAACATTGGGACATAATCATGGCATTTGGCCTAATGTTGATAAAGATAAGTGTCACCATTTGTGTATTTTAAGTAAATGTGTAAAGCTACTTGTTCTGAAAAAGAACTCACCATTTCTTGAGAATATTCATTGACGTCGGAGAATACTGTAATCGCATCGATGTCACACATGTCCGTATTTTTTTCAGTGTTTGTAGCATCTGTCATATTACACCAAACTGAAATACAGAAATTTATATTATTTGAATACAAAGTTACAAACAACTTAAACAAACCACGCTTAAATCCCCATACTTCTTAACCATAGCCTGATCTGTTTATCATCTAGGAACTGAAGTAACAAATACTTTTCAAGACTGACACTTCTTCAATTTAGTAAATTTAGAGGCGGCAGGGAGGTTGGGTTCTAAAAATTGATATAAATGTAAACTATGTCTTTCCTATTAAGATTGCTGGTATTGTTAAAGATATATTGCTGTAATTGTATAGCATTACCTGACTGGAGTTGTATATCATTTGGATCTAGACAAACACGTTTGGCAAGAACATTGATCATGTCCTGCTGTTCGTCTGTCAATATGAAATCTTCATCTGTTGTGTCGTTTTTCGAGAATACATTAAATTGTATACCATTTCTATCGCATTTTCCATCCAAAGTGCGGGAATTACAAACATACTCGACGAGAAGTTCTTCGTCTAGATAGAGGACTTTAGAAAATACTGCAATCAAAATGAAATAAAAAAAACTTATAGAGGATTGGAATAAGGGGAAATGAACGCCAGCATGAGATATCGACCCTTTACGTCGTTTTACAAATGACGTCAAAAGACGTAAACGTTGTCACTGACGTTAAAAATAATACATGCAATATTAATTACCCTTGAAACGTTAAAGATAAATATGAGTAGGTAAAAAGTTAAAAAAAAAAATTAAATTTATTTAAGAATTCAATATGCCAATTAAAAAAGGTAAGTGACGTTAAGAGCAGGTTTCTCGTGCCGACAATGTTATATATTTGTTTAATACTAAAGAGTTAGTATACAAGCATTTTGCGTGTATGATAATATCTGTCATATGTGGCGGATCTAATTGGAATATACGTCCCATTGTACTTGCCGTTGTGCAGTAACGAGACTTGCAAATTTACCGCCCAATGGACCCGAGAGACTGATTTTTTATCCGAAGTGCAAACACATGTGAGACGTCATTTCTTTCATATTCTAACATATTTTTTAAATTGTATACCTTGACAAAAAAATTTAAAAGTTGAAATTATTGTCATTTCATCACTTACTATTTTCTTACTATAACAAAGAATAATGTACATATTAATTCATAATGGCGCAACGTCATCATCATAATACCGAATGTGCCCAAATCACGCCATTTTTGAGCAAGTGACTCATCTGGCACCTCAAAGACAGGTGATATTTCCAGTATACGCACTGTATAAAATTATCGGAATCAGAGTCTGCTATGCTGGAAAGGAGGATTAAAAAGGATTTATCAATTTACTGAGTGCCTTACCAAAGTTTCCGTCACCATTTGTCACAAGAGCAATATGATCGGCTGTATCGATGCACATGTCACGTGACCTTGACCGGTACTCTGTACAACTGAAACAAGACAAAGACTTAGCGCAAAACGTATCTGTTGTAGTACCGAATTTAATTATAATATTCTCTTTTAAGAGTTAAAATTAACAACAACAAAAAAAGAATTCTAATTGACTTCCGTTAAAGATCCTGTATGTTGTAATTAAGGTTGTTACCACACTTAAGTGAAATTTTTATATATGTACTGTATATAATTATTATGCTTCTAAAACAATTTTCAAACATCGAAGAATATGTAAAATATGCACTGTACTGCAAATATTTGTGCAGAGTATATGTAATCATTAAAATACATGTATCTGCATTCATTTCTTATTGAAAAAAATTTGACTTACACTTTATAGAAAATAAATTTCTAATTACCTCCCTTTACTAACATGAAATGTAAATTTGGTAATATTTTTACAAATAATGCTTTTTGGGGGCTTACAATATAGATAAACCTTGATTTGATCATTATCTTTATGATATAAGCCCATAAAAATTTAGTTACAGGATCTTTGAATACTTGGTAATCTTTACTTTCAAGTTATATTTTCTTATTTAAATATTTCAACATACTTTTCCATATCTGGGGAGAATGCCACAATTCTCGTATCTATGCCCTCAGTGCCAGAGGTCAACGTTTTCTCCATAATGACGCCATTAAGTGACGTCATATTGTCGTATGATATGGACGAATAAAGATACCAGGTTCCAGCCATCTTTAAAAAAATACACACACACACAAAACGATAAATATAATACATATGAATGAACTGTGCCTGCTTCGTAACTGACTCAATTTAAACTTCAAAATATCAAATTAATAAATTGGAATGTTGTTAATTTCAAACTGGCCTGTTCAATTTATTTAGAATTACAGATATTTTTCATTACTGATTGCATAGATACAACAATGAATCTTTATTTCTTTATATACATGTATCTATGTTTTTGACTGAGTTATAGTTATACCCTTTTCAGTTTAAATATTTATTTTGCTAAAAGAAATTGTTATCAAACTTGGTAGATCTATGTGTTTTATGTTACAAAACTACAAACTATCACCTTCAAAGCTCAAAAGCGGTATTCTGTGTTATAAAGATCTCCAAACTCAAATTCATTTTTTGAAAATAGCAACCATTTGTGCTAGACTTGTTGCAGTGGTTGATAACTTTTTTAAAGTTTTAAAGTTGTCACATGACTACCATAGCATTCAAACAATTAAAACTATACAATACTAACCATAGTGCTTATGTAATCGTCATAAACTACGATTTCATCCAATTTGCAGTCTTCCGGTTGAATTTCTATTGAATGGAGTAAAAAATATTTAATATTGCCTATTCTTTTTCAGAAAAAATAAAGTTTATAAGTAAATACTATTTACAAACTAAATTACAGTATTAAAAAGTATCACGATAATTCATTTTATATTTGGTGGATATTTTTAAATTTTACACTATACATGTAGTTGTGTTCAGCGTTAGCCGGTGCTGGGGTGGGGGTTGGCATGAACAATAGCTTGCATCCACTCAACAGGCTCAAAGAAAACGAGCTTGTAATATTTTCAGTTTCGGCGTATCGATCAAGGTTTCTATACTAACAATTATTTATCTAATTTTTATTTTTGAATTTTTAAGGACATTGTCTTTTATTGAGACAAAGATTAGTGGTATTGAATACATTAACATACCGTATTTAGATACTTTTCTGATATAACTATTGATTAAAAAGAAAAGCAGTAAAAATAAAACAAATAAAATACATAATAAAGTAGGATGTAAAAGAGTTAAACATACTTTCGGGTTGAATCGTTACCCATTCGGAACAGTTAGCTGCAATGAAAACCGATTCAAATTTTCAATGAAAAGTATATTAAAAGAAATGAAAGAATAATGTAGTCATATATTTAAATATTTATTTATCAATTGTACTAGTGTCAAATGTTCTAACAAGATGATCATGTGATATTCGTTTACCGTAAATTGTGACACTGCTAAATTTAAATAATATCGCCAATGCATTTAATTTCTTATTTTTGTTAAATATGTCAACATTTGACAAATATAAGTTATATTCCAGACAAATGATTGTTGATTCTAATGATGCATAACTTTTTAATGTGACTTCTGTACTTTTCCCTTTATGCTTGCACAATTATTTCGTGAAATTGGGTCATAAATTTGTGCAAGCATAGCTGAAAAATAACAAGATTAACAATGAAATTTTTTGAACCGCTATAAGCGGAAATAACATGAACTATAGATACAAATGAATGAAATTTTTAAAGATATATCGAAAAAGATGGCAAATACCTTTCGGTGAAACAATCATACCGTAACAAAAGTCACATGATCACCCTAACGTTTAAATGTTGCTGATAATTATTTGTTAACAATAATGTGATTATTAAAATATTTTTGTCCAGGAACGATTTGCGGTTGGTGAACTTTTTTCCCCGGTAAAGTCAATGTGGCTTATTGCTGTGATCCGGCGTGAAAACTATGGTGGCTGATTTGTGCCATTCGTGTTTTGTCCCTATACAAACTACAAGCATCAGCACCATGGATTACACACGTGATTATAATAAAATAATCATTTTGAATTTGAATTTAAACAATAACAAGAAGTAGAAGAGGAAAAACGAACCAAGAAACTTTGTTTCAACCATGTCACCGGGTTTTATACAATTTTCAAGGATGCTATAAATAGCATTTCTTTTTTCATCACTGATATCACGTGACCTTCCGGATAACGTGACTTCCATGGCGTACTGATTGCAAGGTTCGTCCGTTTCTCCGGAATAGCATGCGTAAAATAATATATAGTCGTCATCTGCATATATAACCTTGGTCGGAGCTAAAAGGAAATATTTGAAATTATACAAAAGAAATACAGTGTCTAACATGATGGCGGCTTGGGAAGACGAACATACAGGATGTGCTCTTGCAACAAACTTCAACGTTGTGAACAGTGGCAGAATAAAAACCTAACTGGCACAGAAAAATAATAATATCGTATATAAAGAAAGAAAATGAAATGATTGCGGTTTCTAAGCGTAAATTAGTTATGGTTGATTCTACAGGTTCCATTTTCAATTTTCCGTTTTGAGAGTTCTTGGCGGTTTCCATTATTGATCATTTTTATTCATGTAATAATGCCATTAGTTTATCATGAAACTAAAACGTAATTGTAGGAAAGCAGTTATTTTGAATGAGAAAACGATAACAATCGATCCTGAAATAAAAAGACATTAAGGACGATTATGAAGAAATACGTACACCACTGAAACGAGTCGTCATCCCAACCAATCTTGCCAAGCCTGTCTGAGTCGGAGTCTTCAACTGTCCTAGACATGCCTTGTATAGCCGTCATGCAGTAAGGGGTACTGAAAATATAGTGAAAATATAGATTATATCTAACACCAAATTTTGAATCAAATGCCTAGTATTCAGTTGATATTCAAATAATTACATGAATGCATTTTCATTAAAAGAACTTAGTATCAACATAAAACCAAGTAAAAAGGTTCTCACTGTATAGCTTTTTGTATGTTTTTCAATAGCAAAATAAGCTGAACTATGCTTAGGGTTTTGTTTGTTTGTTGTTGTTTTTTTTTTTGGTTGATTTTTTTTTGTGCCAAGATACTTTTATAAATTTGTAATTGTCAACCGCTTTTGTTAGCCTACTATGGTCACTTTGCAAAAAGAAAATATATACAATGTATTATGTATGACACATATCAATACAAGTCTGTTGGCAAAACTTTGTTATTATTCGAATATCATATCATTCTCTAAAAATGTAATAAGCTATATTTTCTACCCATTTTCGTATTCAGGATTAACAATAGTGCCGGTATAATAACTGTATATTTGATTGGTGGATTCGTCATATCTATGAAAGTTCACCACTGACTCCATCTTGTTGAACGTAAATCTCGTGCGTGCAATCTCGTACCATAATCCTGCCAACTAAAACGTTCGGAAATAATAAAGATACAGTTTTTGAAATCAATCATTTCTACAGTTTTTGAAATCAATCATTTCTAAATCATTTCTACGGTTTTTGAAATCAATCATTTCTAAATCATTTCTACAGTTTTTGAAATCAATCATTTCTAAATCATTTCTACAGTTTTTGAAATCAATCATTTCTAAATCATTTCTACGGTTTTTGAAATCAATCATTTCTAAATCATTTCTACAATTTTTTGAAATCAATCATTTCTAAATCAGTTCTACGGTTTTTGAAATCAATCATTTCTAAATCATTTCTACGGTTTTTGAAATCAATCATTTCTAAATCATTTCTACGGTTTTTGAAATCAATCATTTCTAAATCATTTCTACGGTTTTTGAAATCAATCATTTCTAAATCATTTCTACAGTTTTTGAAATCAATCATTTCTAAATCATTTCTACGGTTTTTGAAATCAATCATTTCTAAATCATTTCTACAGTTTTTGAAATCAATCATTTCTAAATCATTTCTACAGTTTTTGAAATCAATCATTTCTAAATCATTTCTACGGTTTTTGAAATCAATCATTTCTAAATCATTTCTACAGTTTTTGAAATCAATCATTTCTAAATCATTTCTACAGTTTTTGAAATCAATCATTTCTACAGTTTTTGAAATCAATCATTTCTAAATCATTTCTACAGTTTTTGAAATCAATCATTTCTAAATCATTTCTACAGTTTTTGAAATCAATCATTTCTAAATCATTTCTACAGTTTTTGAAATCAATCATTTCTAAATCATTTCTACAGTTTTTGAAATCAATCATTTCTTCAATCGTTTCGTACAGGCACATTATGCCTAGATCTTTTTTCTAAAATTCTTTAGACATATCAAACATATGTTTTGATAATGGATTAAGAGCATATTACATGTTGAACAATTGACAAAAATGGTGTTGCACATGCAGTTATGTGTGGTAAATTTGAAGATAGCAAAATGTAAAGAAAGTAGTATTTTGACACCCGTTCAAAATATTAATTCACTATTATTATACCAATTGCCAACATAGTAACAGTATAAAAATAGTTCATCTATATGACAAATAATTATTCTTTTGGAAACTGTAACAAGATTTAAAAAATAATAACTTTTTGAAAAATAAAAATGATAGCATTTCTGATGCATACTGTGCCTTTAATCTGCAGTCCTAAAATAATTTTGACATTTATAGTTGTAGAAAGTTTTATATATGACGAGTTGCATGATGGTATTTCCGCAAGATCTAGGAAAAAATTGTCTTATAAGTCTTAAAAAATCTATATATAGACCAATATAAAAGAAAATCAGATTTTTTTGATTTTTTTTTAATAATATTTGGATACTGAATTGCATAATTGCATATATAACAAGATTAAACACATTTTAGGTCAAATCATTGCGATATGTACCTGAGAGCTGTTGAAATGTTTCTGTAGTGGGATGTTGTTCACGGCACACTGATCATTTGTGGTTGTAATAGGATCTGTAAAATAACATTTTCTTTTTCTTTTTTCTGTAATTTCTCATTTAGCTAGGTTTGCTAAATTATAAAGCATTCATCTATGTTCTTTTTGTTCACGATACAGTATATTTTGTTGAATTATCGATTGACTTTAAAAAGGAGTAAATTGTTGGTACACTGATGGCAGGGTACAAACTAACAGTTAAAAGGCGGCGGTTTAGGTCGAATCCCGCCAAGGACTTTGCATTCTTTCATGTAAGGAAGCTATCAAGCTAGCATACGGACCATCGGTGGTTCTACTAAGGCACCTGAGGTCATCCTCGGCCAGTAAAGATGAAAAGTCGCCATTTAATCTATATGTATAATGTGTTTGTGCGACGTTATACCCAACCAAAAAATATTAAAAGGTACAAATGACTTTTTAGTAAAATTGTTTCTACAATGTTCAAATAAAGCATTCAGAATGATTATTTTTTTTTTTTTTGCATAATTGAAAGCAAAAATACCGGCTTCCTTTAGATCCTTTGCTCTCTGTTTTGCTGCCGCTAAAATCTCGGGAACTTTGCATAAACCTGTAAACGTTACGATAAGAAAATATTATCCTCGTATAGCAATGTATTTTATTTGATTGCGGTTCGGGTTATATATGTTATTCTGTCTCAAATAGAAATTGGAAACGATTAGGAAACAACAAATAAAAAGTTATGCATGTGAATAATATAATTATTCTGATCCAATAGGAAATAAGGAAACGATACTCAATCATTATTATATGCAATTGTATTGAAAAATAGGGAAAAGGTGTATTACTATGTAATATAATTATGTTGATGCTAACAAGAGAAGTTTTTATTTTACAAATATCACAATTCGCAATTATTGACAAAGCCATTATAGTTCATAGTTACATTTTTTGGTATATAAACATATGAATTATATTGATCTATGTCAACAATAAATTTGTCAATAAATTAAACAAAGTAATAATACTATATAACTAAACTGATATCTGCTGGTCAATAGAAATTCCCGTGGGAAAAAAATAAAAGATTTCAACAAAGCATTGAAGAAAATAAATATAAAGTTACATTGTTAAACAATTTAGGGACAAATGCCATGGGAAATATAGGAAGCTATGAATGTTGGGGTTGTAGTCTCCTTTGTTTATCATATGAAAAAAATATAGTTAAAAACAATATATCTAATTCCAAGTAAACACAGTCCCTGATCCATGGTAAAAATATGCCTAACTGACTGGCCTCGCACGCCCGGGCTTTGGGTGACGAAGTCTAGAGTCAATAATATGAGCCGCGCCATGACAAAACCAACATAATATGTTTGCGACCAGCATGAATCCAGACCAGCCTGCGCATCCGCGCAGTCTGATCAGGATCCATGCTGTTCGGTATCAGTTTCTCTACTTGTAATAGGGTTTGTAAGCGAACAGCATGGATCCTGATCAGACTGCGCGGATGCGCAGGCTGGTCTTGATCCATGCTGGTCGCAAACGCAGTACGTTGGTTTTGTCATGGCGCGGCTCATATTATTGAATATCTCACACAGTTTGACAGATTCTTTAACAGACTATTTTATATATTTGATATGCTTTTTATAAAAGCTAAAATTATTGAGAAAAAAAAAACATTTAAAAAAAATGTCATTTAGGAAAAATGAATGTGTTAAGACATAAGTACCGGGCTGTGTTGCCTCTAGAATGCTTGCTTGGACACAGAGCCGTTTGCCAGACCTCTTGATGTATCCATTGACATCCTTCTTGTTTGGATTCAGTTGTTTCGAGATAATCTCTATTTGCATGCCGTTTTTCTGGCATTGAGCACGTGATCCCGGTCGAAATTTGAAGCAATAATATACTAGTGCTAGGTTTTTATAATCAGTAAATGATATGATTAAAATCGCTGAAATAGAAATTAAAGTCAAACAATATAATTGTGCAACTTAATGTTAGCAAGGATTATTATCAATTACAGTACATATACAACCTCTGTGAAGGAAAGCCCTTTTAGAGACTATGATTTCGGATGGTTCCTTATATATGTATGGATTTAGAGACATTGATTTTTTTGTAAAGTCTTACTTATGGGTACAATTGCTACTGTTTTGTAAAGAGGTTATTTATCAACACAGGGTAATCCTGAAGAAGTTGCCTTTTTTTTCATTTTATAATTCGGAAAATTTTCCCATTTTCTCTCTGAATTATTTGCTATAATAAATATGAGATATATTCCCTCTCATATTATTTCTGTTTAAAAATTACAATCCGTGTTTACATGGCATTTTTTTACACCAGGATACATTTCAGTTTTTTAAGTTTGATGAAACTCTAACGCGGCACTAGTGCTTTATTTGAGACCAACATGACCAATATAATTTTGGGGGAAGACGCCAACAGTTTAGTCTGGTCAGACACTAATTATATGGTGTTGCTTTTACCGTATATAGACAAAGAATTATTAATATACTATAGTATTATTGTAACCGTATTCGCTGTAAAATCACATTTGCTGATAAAAAGTGAGTACAGAACTTCTTTGGTACAATATTATTTATTCAATCTTTTCTTTTCTATGATTTATAATGCATGTATATTTAACTCACAGTTATCACTCGTTTGGCGGTTTGTACGGAGTGTATATTGTCCGGGGCGACCGTTCTTTACCAGTTTTCCGGACTCCACTGGAAGGCATTTATCACCGCTATATTGTGAATAGAAACTTACAAACTCAATCTTTGTTAAACTCAGATATAAATGACATCGCAGAAAAGAAACATATTGCTTGGAAATTATAGATGTGAGAAAAGTTACCTTTATGAAAAATTTGTTATTTATTTTTATCATTCATTATTACTACATATATTGATCTGCTAAGTTTTGCAAGGAATCGTTAATGGTCGCCTAGAAACATAATATATGCGTACTAAAATATACATAAAATAATCAAATAAAAAAACAGAGGCAAAACTTACATTTGACCGGTATATGAGAAGCCGAAAGATCCATCTTCAGCTTTTTCTATCTCAAGAGAAAACGATTCAAAGGTATAATCTCCCCACGCAAATGTGGTTCTTGTCACCGTAAACCATGTCCCAGCAAACTATAATAAGAAAATTAGAACCCCACCGGTCTTTCGTAAATATCTCAGTTGCAAACTGTTAGTTCAAAAATTCAAAATTTTGACGTCAGTCAGTCAACAAAGTAAACTTACTAAACCTGTCCTGAAACAAGAAAATTACCTTATTCCATCAAGATTGAGGAAAAATTCATTTGAAAATCACTATGTCCAATCACCATGTTCAACTTATATCAAATAATATGATTGTAAACTTGTTCTTTTACTGTACTCCATAAATGAATCGTTAGGAAAACTATCAAAATTAACACGGTAGATAGTTATCATTACGTTTTTATTATTGTAACTTAACTGATTTTGAAAAGTGGGATTGGTAATGAGTTCCATTCATAGATGTTTTAAACATGGTGATTTTCGACATTTCATGTTACAATAAAGTCAAGATAATTTTGGAACTTCAATTCATTATATTTTAAAAAAATATAGTGCCCTTTTATATGTCGTGGTAATTTTGGAGTACTAGTGCCTGTGCGTAGTAATCTTACTATAGATATTGTTTCGACTATAGTATACATTAAAAACTGTAATGCATGGACTACTTTAATGGCGTATAAAGCGCGCTCTATTTTTCACAAAAACGTCTTTGCTTGCTATGTATGAATTTCTTTTCCATCGTGTTGATCTGGATTCTGAAGTATCAAAATGTTTTATTATTGCGTCATCAAAATGTTACCAGCCATATAAACAGCTTTCTCAAATGCATTTATATTTGGCATGATTTAAGCGACCACTTCCGATGTAAAAAGAGTCCTCGTTTGGCATATGTTGATAATATAAAGTTTTAATATCCAGCCTTACTTTTGACATTCTGATTATGAAAATAACGTATTCAAGGACATATTTGTGGTATGATAAAGTCAAAACGGAAGTCATTATTTTCAAGTGCCATATATAAAATTAAACATAATTATATTCTCTACAAGATCAAGGTCGTGGCATGCCTTTTCTTTCGACTTTATATATTAATTATTTAACCTTTTTCTTTCTTTCTTCTTTTATGTGTGGGGTGGGTGAAGTGTGGGTGTTGTATTTTCTTTTTCTTTATTTACTTATTATTTATTTATTCTTTCATTTATTAATTAATTTATTTATTTGTATAAATGTACATGTTTTTCTTTCTTGGCAAGCAGCCCGTCTAATATTACGCAGGAACAGATTTTAAGACAGAAAGTTTACCCTGTAAATCTTGTTGTTCTTATCTTGTTTCGCATTTTTTTACCAGTCTTATCTACTTTTTGGACATGTGTTGAGAAAACTGGAAAATTGCGGTTCATAATCTCTTTTATAATCTTATCGCTTTCTCCTTTCCTTTCCTCTTTTATAATTTCACCGAGAAAATGCTGCTAGGTCATTTTAATCTATGATACAAGAGCTAGATATGGGTCAAGATTCTAGAGGATATAAACTTCTGGGAGAAGACAAATCAGTGTTTAGAAAATGTTCTTTGCAGCATGAGATAGTACACTGCTATAGAGAATATATTAAAGTACATGTATAACTCACTTTTTTAATCTACTGGCAGCATTTTTCGGGTCAAGATTCTAGCGGATATAAACTTCTTGGAGAAGACAAATAAGTGTTTGGTTTAAACAATATTTATTTCTTCATCAATATTTACAGACAAGATTACAATATATAAATTGCATTCAGGATTGAGTAGAAAGCTTAGAGCTTATATGAAACTCTCTCCTGTAAAAACATATTTATATAATATAATGGAAAGTGTAGGTCCTATTTAAGAATATTACAAGAATTAAAATGTATTGACACTTTAAATGATTTCTATAAGTATAAGTGTTTAGAAACGTTCTTTGCAGCATGAGATAATTGTACTGCTATAAAGAATAAAGTACATGTATAACTCACTTTTTTAATCTACTGGCAGCATTTTTCAACACAGATTATGAGTTAAGATATATGAGCCGTGTTACGACAAAACCAACATAATGGGTTTGCGACCAGCATGGATCCTGACCAGCCTGCGCATCCACGCAGTCTGATCAGGATCCATGCTGTTCGCTTACATACAAACCCTATAACAAGTAAAGAAACTGATAGCGAACAGCTATGAAACGTTGTTACCCTTCATGTTAATATTTTACGTACAATATGCTATGCTTACATTATCATGTCTCATTCTTAATAGAATGTCCCGTTGTATCTACTTGTATAGAAAAACCCACCCAACGATGATTATTAATTAATAAACAAACATAAAAAAGCTCCACTGAGGTGCAAAAGCCTAAGATATAACATTTTAAAAAATCTCGAATGGAGGAAACATATGTAAAAGATAATAAATAAGTATACATGTACCCAGAATAAATAGAAAATCTACTTTTAGTGCGATTTTAATCCGGTTTCAGGTAAGGCGTTTAAACGCTTTTCATTTTTTGGTAATAACTTTTCACAATATAAATTTTATAAAAACAAACATCCTTTTTTTACAATATAAATGTTATAAAACAATCATCAGAGAAGCCTCAGTGAAGATCCTTAAACGAAAATATAATTTTCAATACCTTAATTGATTATTGATAATGTAATGCAGTCAAATACTTGCTTAAGACCACCACAGTCTAAGACCACATAATATGGAAAATCCTGTTATAATTATAAAAGACCAATATTACTGTGTCTAATATTTAAAAATTCTGTCAGGCAATAAAGTACACATTTATTTGGAGATCGAGTCACTTTTTCCGAAAAGTTTATCAGAGAACCTTGAGGACACGTCAATGTAACGAAGTATTCGCCTTTTTATCGGACATTGAATTATTGACCCTCTATTATCTGTCCGTCCGTCTGTTTAAGCCATGTAAGGCCACTACAATATACATCTATTTTTGTACAATTACGATAACAATAAATAAATATTTTTTACCTTTCAAAAACTTCTACATATCTCAAAACATCGCAGATTACATGTACATATTTTGTGCTTGAGTAGTACTCGTACTTACCACATAACAAATCATGCTATGAGAAGAAGATTTCTTCTTCTACGCAAGGAACAATCATCAGATATATATAAATGGTTCATATATTCATTAAACACAACATTTTATTATTATTTGAAATTTTAACGACTATATATAATACTGGGTACAAAAAGTGCGCTTATCACATCTCAGACAAAGTTATTTCTTTAAAGTTTTGAATACCGTTAAACTGTGTATTTAGTATAAGTAAAACAGACTGAATATATGCTATATAATTGAACGATGTCGTTGATTTTAATATTTTAAGATAACTTACTTTGTTCAAATCAAATCCTTTATGTACGGGTATCCTTTTCAAAGTCCGTGTGCATTTCTTTGCCGAATAAACAGGCGAAACGAAACAAACAAACAGGAGAAAAAGAACGCACAATTTTTTGAAAGTAAATGAAAAATACGTTTTATTCATTTTAAAAATCCCTTGTAAATTTTAGATGAAACAATATATAACAAATACGGAAAAAATAAGACACAATCACATAAAATGTTACATGAGTACAGTTAGGCAATACTTGCGGAGTCTAATGCAGAATTAAATAATGAGTATTTATTAAAATAGTCAGGTGGTAGTGTCACGTGATAGTGTGGTCTGATTCTGATCACCTGCGCGCGCACTTTTGGTTCAGTGATATTTTAGGTACAGCGAACACTACGTGTTTACAAACATTTAAATTTCAGTTAAGTTCAAGTTTGATCTGGATTTTGTATAAACATTTATTTAGATGTGTCTAAATAAACAACCTAAGGAAAAAAGTTCAGTTTCACAAGAGTTTCTTCATGTTTTGAATTAAATATTATCAACAACACGGATTAAACATGTTTACCGAATAAAAGATAAGCACAAAATAAAGAGGCAAACGAGTGCTGAACACATTAGTTAGAAAGTTTTACATATTGTCTGTGAATCAGCTGGAAAAAAACACTCTCCTTTTGCAGCGAAATATCTTTTCACATAAAAGAATCTCTTCTTGAATACTGTTATGTCTAGTTACTCAATTAAATCTTATTATATTTTTGTGTCCTGTTCTATAAAAAACCTGTTATTTCACATATTTAGTTCATGTATCCAGTACTGTCATAATTATACATATAATAAAATATCTCTGGTATATGCAGTGGGCATTTAAATTTGAAATTTCATAGTATAAACCCGAGTACGGTTTTGTCAAAAATACTAAATTAAAGATATAGTTTAAATTCAGGGAGGCATATAATAAAAAGTTTTATTTCACAACCAGTACAGCATCTTGCACCAGGTGATTCAGTCTAACAAATTTATCCTTGTTTTTCATTTCCAGAGTTCAAAGTGTTGATATCAAATCCATAATCGCACCCCAAATAGCCTCGTTTTCATTTTAAGAGTAAAAGATCCATATCAAATCTGTTTTATATGCCCGAAAGAATTTCGGGCATATTATGTTATACCCCCAAGGCCTCCGTCCGTCCGTCTGTCTGTCCGTTCGTTAGCGATTTGGTTTCCGGAACATAACTTAAGTTCCATTTGACCCACAATATTCAAACTTCATAGGATGATTGTCCATATTAGGTCAAAGACCCCTATTCATTTTTAGGTCACAAGGTCAAAGGTCAAGGTCACTATTACATTAAAACTGAAAACAGTTTCCGAACCATAACTTAGGTTCCATTTGGCTCGACAATATTCAGAACTTCATATTTATGATTGTCCATATTAGGTAGAAGAGAGACCCTGCCCCCTATTGATTTCTGGGGTCACAGGGTCAAAGGTCAATGTCACTGTATTACCTTAAAACTGAAAAGCAGTTTCTGGAGGCATAACTTCAGTTCCATTTGGCCCACAATATTCAAACTTCATAAGATGATTGTCCATATTGTGTAAAAATGCCCTATTGATTTTGGGGTCACAAAGGCAAAGGCCAAGAGTCACTATGACCATAAAACTGAAAACAGATTCCGCTCAATAACTTAAGTATTATGTCAATGGGTGCAAATAGTAGCATGCGGCTACAGCTGTTAAAATATATAATTGAGGATGTATAGCGCCAAGAGATTCACAAGATAGACACTCGAACTTCTCCGTATGCGATTTCTAGGTGTCGACGTACAGTCGAATAGTTCATGGGAATCATTCAATTAGCCGTTGGTTTACATCTGAAAATTTGTGGGGTTTCCGGAGCATAACTTAATCTTTCCATTTGCCCAAGTGTTATTCATAGGATCGGGATTGTATTTGGGTAGAAGACAACCTGGGATTGGATTTTGTGGTCACTAAGGTCATTGGTCACTATTACTTTAAATCTTAAAACAGTTCCTGGGGCATAACTTAAAGTCTATTTGTCCCACAATATTCAAACTTCATAGGATGATTTCCATATTGGGTAGAACACCCCTATTGATTTTGGGGTAATAAAGTCAAAGTTCAAGGTCGCTATTACCTCAAAACTGAAAACAGTATCCAGAGCACAACTTAAGTTCCATTTGGCCCACAATATTCAAACTTTATAGGAGAATTGCTATTTGAAGGAGGTAATACTTTATTTAATGTATGTAATGTCTTACAAATGCTTCATCCTTACTAAAAAAAAAAAACACTTTCGGGCAAATAATGCTCCGCCTAGCGGTGCTCTTGTTAATTTGAATGTTAGAATATAATAGTTTTCTTTGTTGGTTTGCTATAGCCAGGTACAACATGTCAAGGTCACTTTTACCTTAAAACTGAAACAGTGTCCGCTCAATAACTAAAGTATTAATTAATCTACAGCTTTAAAATTTTATTGGATGAACAGCCATGCCCAATACATGACCCCTATTGGGTTTAGGGTCATAAAATCAAAGGTAAGGGTCACAATGATCTTTACACTACGAATTGTGCTTTCTGGAGCATAACACAAGTTCCATTTGGCTTACATTAGGATGATTGCCTATATTGAATAAAAGATCCATATTGGGGTCACAGGGTCAAAGGTCAATATCAATAACCTTAATATTGTAAACATTTTTACAACTGTCAAACTTCATAGAATGATCACTTATATTGAGTACATAAATTATATGCCCTAAAATATTTGCTTATATTATGTTATACCCCTGGCGTCTTTCTGTCCATCCGTCGTAGCATTTTTACTTACAAGATAACAACTTGATGGTGTTGCTTTGGAAACAGCAACTGTATACATGTATATATATATGAAGGTTCTTCAACAATAAAGGAGGATTGCTTTTTAAAGGAGGTAATACTCTAATTCCCATGACTTAAAGATGCTTCATCCTTACTAAAAACACTTTCGGGCATATAATGCTCCGCAAAGCGTTGCTCTTATTGTAATTGAAGTGATAAAGTTCTGTGAAAATGTCAAAATCCTGGTGTTGTGAAATAAAGAGGCCATTAAACATGGTTGAGAAAAATACTATTGCACTCGTACACAGTTGCAAAATCTATGTTAAAATTGGGTAGCGCCTCGTCCAATGTAAATACTCGTCAATAGAATTCAATATTGTACATAACAATGTATAATAACCTTATTTTATTATCTAAAAGAGTATCTTGTGTTTGCTCTGAATGATTTTATTAAAACGGCGTTGTGCGACTAGTGAGATCCTATCCTGAAGTCTATTGTTTGTGTCGTAATGGCATTGTAAATGTCATACAACGACGATACAGCTATACTGGCGGAGGAAGACCTAAGTTGCCCCCTCGTGCATTGTTTCAGATCCGGGGGGAATCTGAGTAGAACGACTGACCCAGTTAGCTAGTTTGGTACACGTACCACATCAAGATCCTCCTACAATAATCATACTGTGTCTAGTCTAGAACAACCGTTACTGTTTTCTTTAAACATTATAGATTGAATTATAAAACGTTATAAATTAGTATGAATTTAACGTAAAATAGTAAGATTTGTTGATTAAAAACAATTAACTGTATTATTCAAGCAGTGTACGTGAACAAAAAAGGTATGTCGACATAAGATAATACTGACGAAATAATGCTCCAGAATTGGAAAAAAAAAACATTAGAAGATCCAGTTTAAAATATTTATATAAATCTTTATATTGGAAAAGTTTATCCCTACAAATATGCTTTATGTCCCACTACTCAAACACATATTTATTGCATTTAAATGCAAGACTTAGTGAATTATGATGAATATTAAGTAATTATTCCCACGTAAATTACAAATAAAAATATCATTGGCAAATCACTGTGGCTAGTTAGCAGTAATATATTTTGGAATATGGTATAATAGAAAGTTTTAGCAGAGATCATTGTTGAAATAAAAAAGATAACATTTGAACGTCAAAACACGTTACATGCATAATAAATTAGTTGAACTAAACAATTCTAATTACATAATATTTTAAAAAGCAATATGCATGAAGCAAATAAACTGATAAATTACCGATCAATTTAGGTAAGAAATTATTGTTAATATAACGATTTTATATCAACAATGATTTCTACTACTATGTCATTCCATATTTCACGGTGGTGGCATATTTCCATGTTACTAGTATTAAAATTAGTCAGAATTGACATATTATAGTCATACACCTAAACAACATTTAGTGCAATGTATTTTAAATATGTAGAGTTTACATAAATCAGAGCAACATTTACTCATTTCTGAAGAAAAAACAACAACACAATAGTCCATTTAAATGTGTACATACGTCTGAAACAATTATCATTTTTTAAATGTTCTCATTTGTGTAAATGTAAATTTTTGAGTAACAAAGTAAAGATATATTTATATTTAAAATTGAGCTTTATAACATTTAGTAATTTTAAATGAAACATGAAAAAAAAAAATGTAACACCGATTATCGCGATTTAAATGATGACATCCTGTTTTCAGAATTGCCAAACTATTATCTATGTCTAGCCATTAAATCTGATTTTGATTGAATATGCTGTTCTTTCCTTATGTCATATAGAAAAAAAATACCTTCATGTTACAGCTTATGGAATTTTTTTTGTATAGTGAGTTCATTATTTGTTTTTCTTCTTGTTAAAAAGCGTTAAGTATCGTGAAGTAAAAGGAGCAAGGAACATGTTTTATGTCTGTTGTCAGTGTTTGTAGATATTATGAGTGGAGTGAATACATTGGAAGATATAGTGAACAGTACGCATTTATCTGTTTCAGATAAAGTAAAACATTACACAAATTATATCACAAATGTAGGAAATAAGTATTTTGAAAAGAAAATCGTTTGCCGAAATTACACTTTTATTGATAATAAATGCACGGAAAGAAAAAAGTGGTACAATGGTAATTGTAAAGAGAAAAGGAGAATGTATTTAGAGGCGTTAGAGCTATATACATGTGAAAGGAATTCGGACAATTTTACTAGAATGAAACAGTTTAAAAAAGACTATAAATACTGCGTCAGGAAAACAAAGAAAGAATATAATGTAAAACGAGGTCGAGATATGGATGAAATGCGCAGGAAAAAACCGCGCGAGTTTTGGCGAATG